GGCTACCGTCCCTTCCACCTCCGTGGAAGGGCGGTTCCCCCTGCCACTTTCCCCACTTCCGCGGGGGAGCGGCACACCGCCGGCCGGCTCTCTCGGGGGCTGCTCAGATGTTCCTCTTAGATGTTCCTGGTGCATGTTGTCTCTCTCCTCCTTTATAGTCCTCTTCCACCAATCCCAACTCTGCTACCCACACGCCGAGTACGCTGCCCTCCTCCAATCAGGAGCAGGTCCTGCTATTTATTAGTTGAACTGGAGGCAGCTGTGTAGAAGCTGTTTCCCTTCTCAGCACCATATTGTGGGAAAGCAGATGCATAGAATAAGTCTTAATTCCAGTAACTTAGTCTAGTCAGAGTTGCTCCCAGTTGCTCCCCACAATCAAGATTCATTGTCAATTATCTTTATATATGGAAGATCAACTTAGTATATACTAGGTAAAGATTTCAACAGTTTGCACCCAAACAGATACACAAAGGATAAAGTACTGTTTGAGTACTAGTTTTACCATTAATTCGCTTAGTACAACACATTAAGGACAAAGATCCTACATGGGTAGTAGGTGTACAGTGACTCCCGTTGTTGATTTAACAATTGACACTCTTATTTATGGCATCAGTAATCACCTGAGACTCGTCATGAGCTGCCAAGGCTATGGAAGCCTCTTGAGTTCACCAATTCCGATCTTATTTAGACAAGGCCATAGTCAAAGTGGAAGTTCTCTCCTCCCTTCAGAGAAAGATACCTCCCTCTTTGATGGCCCATTCTTTCCACTGGGATCTCACTCACAGAGATCTTTCATTTAGGTCTTTTTTTGGCCAGTGTCTTAGCTTTCCATGCCTGCAAAACTCTTATGGGCCTTTTAGCCAGATCCAAATGCCTTAAGGGCTGATTCTGAGGCCAGAGTGCTGTTTAGGGCATCTACCATTCTATGAGTCTGCTGTGTATCCTGCTTACCATGCTAGATCATTCTCTCCTTTTAATTCTATCAGTTATTTTTAGCAGACAATAGCCTTGTTTGTGTGATCCCTTTGACACTTAATCCTATCATTATGATCAATTAGGAACTTAAACTGATCACTTGAACTAGTAAGATGGCATTGGTACATGCCACTTTGATGGGATTGAATTGGAATCCCCAGGCACATTTCTAGCTCTACCATTAGAAGTAAGTCCAAGTGAGCATGTGTCCCTCTCTTATTCCCACTCTTATATTTAACAGAGATCATTTTCAGTTAAATAAGACTAATTATTAATTATATATTTATATATAAATATATATATAGATTTATATAATTATTAATTTTTCAGTTAAATAAGAATAATTGTGTGTTAATTAAATAGTTCAACCAATGGTATTAAGTAGAACAAAAAATACTAAAAAGAATAAAATAGTAAGTTGTCCTTGACAGTCAGGACAAGGGCTAGTCAAGTCATTGTTTCTCATACTGTCCATTTCACTTCACAGGTTTCCTTTTAGGTGCTCAGTTAGTTGTCACAGATCAGGGAGAACATAGGATATTTGTCCCTTTGGGACTGGCTTATTTCACTCAGCATGATGTTTTCCAGATTCCTCCATTTTGTAGCAAATGTCTGGATTTCATTTTTTTTACTGCCGTATAGTATTCTATAAAGTACATATCCCATAATTTCTTTATCCAGTCTTCTGTTGATGGGCATTTAGGTTGATTCCATGTCTTAGCTATTGTGAATTGAGCTGCAATAAACATTGAGGTGCAGACAGCTCTTTTATTTGCCAATTTAATTTCCTTTGGGTAAATTCCAAGGAGTGGGATGGCTGGGTCATGTGGTAGGGCTATATTCAGGTTTCTGAGCAATCTCCAAACTGTCTTCCATAGTGGCTTTACCAGTTTGCATTCCCACCAACAGTGGATTAGTGTCTTTTTCCCCCCACATCCTCGCCATCATCTGTTGTTAGTTGATTTCTGTATGAGAGCCATTCTAACTGGGGTGAGGTGAAACCTCATTGTGGTTTTAATTTGCATTTCTCTGATGCTAGTGATCCTGAACATTTTTTCATGGCCTTGTCACTTTTCTAAATCCTTTTTTGCATAGATCAGAGAAGCAGCACTAATCCTATTGTGCTGCTTCCCAAAATACCACTTACAGAAAACAGAAAACAAAGATAACTCAGTCATCTAGCAAGTGTTATAAAGAATTGTGCACCTGGGGCTAGCGATTTGGCACAATGGGTTAACGCCCTGGCCTGAAGCACAGACATCCTGTGTTGGCGCCAGTTCAAGACCCGACTGCTCCACTTGCGATCCAGCTCTCTGCTATGGCCTGGGAAAGCAGTGGAGGATGACCCAAGTCCTTGGGTCCCTGCACCAGTGTGGGAGACCCGGAAGAACTGGCTCCTGCCTTTGGATCGGTGCAGCTCCGGCTGTTGTGGCCACTTGGGGAGTGGACGAGCAGATGGAGGACCTCTCTCTCTCTCTCTCTGCCTCTCCTTTCTCTGTGTAACTGACTTTCAAATAAATAAATAAATAAATAAATAAATAATCTTTTTAAAAAATGAGAAAAAAAGCATAAATTTAAAAAAAAAGAATTGTGCATCCATAAACCACCCAAGAAATAGCTACCCAAACAGAGAACTCCAGTTCACAAAGACAACATAATCCTGCGGCTTTGGAGGGGCTCCATGGAGTGGGGTGGAGTACCGTCTGCAGCATCTCATGGACGATAACGATGATGGAGGAGCCAGGGTGAAGAACAGGGCACCCCCACGAGCTGTCTGAACGCCACACCTCTAATGCACCCACTTCTTGACCCAGGTCCAGGTATGGGCTAACAGCTTCATCAAGGTCCCTCAGGCCTCCAGGAAAAGCAGCACAGATAAATGCGAAACGACCCATTTCATGGTACAGGGTGAGGAACAAGAAGCATGTTTTTCAACAGTCTTGAGTGGTTGCAGCTCACCCCTCAAGAACACTAACTTCAGCAGCCACTTCATTATATTTCTACTGTAAATGATACGGGCCTGGGCCAAGTCAGCACCAAAACTCCCTTCAGAATTCAGAGGTTAGGTCATCCACACTCTATTGACAATTACCGAACTCAAAACCCCTAATGAGGCATCTCAGCAACAACGTGTGTCCTGCCACTAATGAGGCTCTTTTTCCATGAATAAAGAACAAGAACATCATCTCTGTTGCCAGGTATACAACATAAACAAAGCTCAACACAAGGGCCTTGGTATGGCGGGTTTGTCCATTTGCAACAAAAGAATTTTTCAAAGTGCGAGCCAAGTTTAGTAGAGGGTGGGACAGCTGTTGTAACAAATAATGGGAACATATGTTATCAGAATCTAATAAATCAGCTTTTGGTTGTTGTGGAACAGAGGCTGTGCAATGGGATATATGGAGACAATGAAAAGCTCCAAATGAGTTCATTTCTTTATTTTACAATCAGTCTTAGAACACAAGGCTGATGATTTCTGTAATGAACTGAGATTTCCATGAAAGGAGCCTTATGAGATTTGTGATCCCAGAGGCTCCACTGGTTAAATCTTTATTTCTTAAGCCTCGATGTATCAGGTTGAGTACAGGTCAGCACCGGGGGTGAGAACGTTGGAACCCTGTGATACACTGGTGGCTTCTGGTGGCAAACAGAAAAGTGCACGGGCACCTGCAGCTATGGGCATGGGGCAGGATTCCTTGGTATTGCAAGAACCTCCATGTATGAGCCTCTTGTCTACAGGGCAGCCTCAAAGCTTAGAGCTCAGCTGAACAGTGAGATTCCAGCACATAAACAGAGAATAAAAATGAGCTGACATGAAAGCCAAACAAGTCTTTATTTTGTTTAATTTAAAGTGCTCTATACAAATTCTTTTCTCTCTTTCTAAAATCAGTTCCATACTAGGTAGCATATATCTTGTTTCAAAGCATGGTCATGTCTGCACAGGCATGATGATGCCATCGCCAGCTGGGGGCTTGTTTCATGAATTTGAGCAAGAGTTGGAAGAAAACAAAAACAAAGTCTCACAATGCCTCAGTACCCCCAACTGTAGAGAATAACAATTCTAACCCGCTTCAGAGACTTCTTATCAAGAACTACAGCCACAAATAAGACCCACACGGTATAGTTTGCTCTATATGTTTGAAAAATTTCTGGAAATTTGTATTCTGAATAATTCTTTAAATACACTGAATAATCTTATTAAAGAATATGTTATAAAGCAAGAAAGTGATTACGTGATACAAGAAACCACTCCCTACTATCAATTTTACAAACACATTTCTCTCAGTGAGAGTTTATCAAAATAAGGCAGATATTACAACGAGCTGCAGAGCCTAGCAGCTACACCACAGTGGGTAATTATACAGATAAGTTTTGTACAATTCATCAAATAGTGTGTTCACAAATAATGGCATTAGGAGTAGTAGAGCTTTTAAACCTCCAGGCGTATCAGTTTATTTTTCTGTTCTAACAGAAACAGGTAAAGTGAAATACATTCACTGTTCAGTAATCAGAATAGCAAAGGGATTTCAAGGCCTGCTGTGTAAAGCAATGGAGGTAATCTGCTAAGGAGGAAAAGACCTGAGAAGGGAACACTATTTTATGCCCAAATGCTTACTGATTTGTCACATGTGCAAGGGCTACACTGCTCCAAAGAATCAACAAACCCAACAGTTACTTGTCACTGATGTGGCGTCGCAGCAAAAATTCTAACAGCGCAGTCCCAACAAGGCACATGCTGCCTGCAGAAGTGCTGAGTGACTGCTGACCATGGAGGGGACAGAGCAGAGTTTGCATAACTGCCTGACAGAGAGGGTCAGGGGAGTCTGCGGGAGGAGGAGGAGAAAGAGGGCATGGCCTTCTGAAACCATCACGGTAGCACGGAGGTTAAAAATCCATGAGAACAAAGTCACCAAAGTGCTCTGCTACCTGAATTCTCCCTCTGATCTAATCACTGGACTATATCAAGAAGAAAGGAATAATCAAGTACAAAAAAAAAAAAAAAAACCACAAACCCAAGCACTTACCATCATACTTTGCTAAGACGGCCTGGACGTCAGCATACGCTTGTAGCTCCAGAAGCGCTTCTAACAGGTTTTCATGGATGTTGAACATGCTCAGCAGAGGGAACTCCTTCATCAACTAGAAAATAAGAAACCAAGGAGTAGTTAATACACATATTTCTTTTATTTTATTGTACATATTTAGAAAACAAGATATACCTTTTGGTATATTTACATACAGTACAATGATTATGACACAGATTTTAGGAAAGAATTTTTTATTTTTAAAGTATTATTGATATTGAATTACACATATTTATATAATATAGACATACCATATGGATTTTTTTTTGAGATTTAAAAGTATTTGTTAGAATCAAGGACCTCCAGCCAGAGCGGCATGGAGGGGGGCTTCTAAGAGAGGAAAAATCCAAAAATCCTCATAACATTTGGGTTTTTAAGTACAATTTCGAAGGAAAAAAACTTGACAATCAGAGTGGCATTCAGTTACTGTATTTTTCTTTAAAGATTTTATTTATTTATTGGAGAGGCAGAGTTACAAAGAGAGAGAGGGAGACAAAAAGGTCTTCCATCTGCTGGTTCACTCCCCAGATGGCTGCAATAGCCAGAGCTGAACCAATTCGAAGCCAGGAGCTTCTTCTAGATCTCCCATGTGGGTGCAGGGGCCCAAGCACCTGGGCCATGTTCCACTGCTTTCCCAGGCCATAAGCGGAGAGCTGGATTAGAAGAGGAACAGCCAGGACAGGAACCAGTGCCAATATGGGATGCTGGGCACTGCAAGTGGAGGCTTAGCCTACTACACCACATCATCAGCCTCTGATTCTTAAAAGTATAATTATACTAGATAATAAGTTGTCACACCAATTATTATTTTGTAAAGCATTAAATGCTTCATTTATCCCTGATACTTTGGGAAAAAAAGCAATTTTGAATTTGTGACCTTAGGTGAGAGAAAGTCCAAAAGAGAGAGCTTTTAATAAAAACTGAAGATGGGGACAGGTGTTGTGACATAGTGGACTAAGCCTCCACTTGCAGCTCAGCATCCTGTATCAGATTCTGATCCGGCTTCCTGGCAATGTTCCTGGGAAGGCAGTGTATAATAACCCAAGTAGCTGGGTCCACGCCACCCAAGTGGGAGCTCTGGATGGAGTTCCTGGCTCCTGGTCCGGCTCAACCTTAGCTGGGGTCACTATTTGGGAAGTGAACCAGAAAAAAAGAAGATTCTCTTTCTCTCTCTCTTTCTCTCTCACTCTCTCTCCTTCCCTCCCTCCCTCCCTCCCTCCCTCTCTGTCACTGTGCCTTGCCAATAAATAAATAATTCATTTTTTTAGAATGAAACTGAAAAAAATCCAATAATGATGAAATGCCGTAGAGAAACCAACTGAGGAGAGAGTTGATAGATGCCTCGCAGGCTTTCACAGTTGTTCCCTGGTCAGTTAGTCCAGGGCAGTCTAGATGGAAGCCAGTGAAGGGGACACCAGCGTTACTCTTTCAGGCAGTCTGGTGACAAAGAAGAGGTGGGAAAGTCTTAGAAGGCAATGTGGCTGAGGGAGGTCCTGTAGGTAATGACTGGGGGAGTAGTAAGAAATAAGCCCATGAGTTCTTGCCTGGTTGCCCCAACAAAACAGAAATAGAGGTCATCTTCAGAGACTGAGGCAGTTAAGGTAGAAGTGTAGAAAAGTCACAAAGTAGAGATCAAACAAGGATTGCAGAGGCCAGCTTGAGGGACTAACATTCTGGAGACTGAATTTTAAAAGGGGTGGGGAGGTCCAACTGCCACAGTTGTCAAGTTTTAGCTAGCAGTTGCAAGATGTCAAACTATAGGTCTGAGCTGAGGAAGATGGATTAGTTTCAATGAAAAGTCAAGAAGCAAGGGAGTTGACCACAGTGGTGATTGGCCCAAAGGTTCTAGATTGGATGGGAGGAAGAGAGGTCAATGAGGAGTTCAAATAAATAGCAATGAATTTCATTGGAAAGCAAGGAGAAAGAAGAAAGGACCAATAATTTCAGAGCAAAATCTGATTTTACAGCAAAGTAAAAATTTGGACAACCAAGCTCTTTATACAGCAAAAATCACATATTTATTCTCCACTCTTTCATCTGCTGCATGAGTAGCTGTTTTCTATGATAACACAATGACCCCTTAAAATGTGATGTCAACTTCTTTACAGTAATTACACTGAAAGAGATGATATTCAAAAACAGACTCACTGCTAAACAAGAAGCCAGTTGTATGGACTATACATTTTTTCCTTTAATAGGAATATTTACCATTTTTTGAAGCCAAGAATCATTTAACATGTTTAAAAACAATTTTTTGCTTCCCCAAAGAATATCATATTATCAGTGAAAACTCCTATCTAAATGATGATGTATTCAATAAGAATCTCTGACCTGCTGAATTTTCATTGTTAGTAAAGGAAGTGAATAAGACTACACCACATACTGTTGATATTCTGTAACCAATAAAAAAGTATTTCTTGTTCTGGTTCACTTTGATTCTGGTTGACATCACCCCTTTGATTTTTTTTTCTCTTTCTAATTAAAGCTTGTTAAAATTAAAACTCTGTCATTCAGCACTTGGCAACACAATAAAGACATTCCCTAAACTATAACATTTATCATTTTTAGCCAACTCCTCAGGTAATGATCAAACTTCAAGGACACAAGTCACATTCTGTAATTTTGAAACTGCAATCCCAAATATTATCTGCTGAAGCTTACAAACTCAGTCTCATTGAAACCCAAAGACTATATGCGGGCCGGCACCGCGGCTCACTAGGCTAATCCTCCGCCTTGCGGCGCCAGCACACCAGGTTCTAGTCCCAGTCGGGGCGCCGGGTTCTAGTCCCGGTCGCCCCTCTTCCAGGCCAGCTCTCTGCTGTGGCCAGGGAGTGCAGTGGAGGATGGCCCAAGTGCTTGGGCCCTGCACCCCATGGGAGACCAGGAGAAGCACCTGGCTCCTGCCATCGGATCAGCGCAGTGCGCCAGCCGCAGCGCGCTGGCCACGGCGACCATTGGAGGGTGAACCAACGGCAAAGGAAGACTTTTCTATCTGTTTCTCTCTCTCACTGTCCACTCTGCCTGTCAAAAAAAGACTGTATGCACAAACATGGAGGGCTCCACTGCTTTAAACAAAACCTGAAGTAAGATGCCAGGAGCAGGGCTGGTGCTGTGGCATAGCGGGTAAACCTGCCACCTGTAGTGCTGGCATCCCATATGGGTGCCAGTTCAAGTCCTGGCTGCTCCACTTCTGGTCCAACTCTCTGCTGTGGCCTGGGAGAGTGGTGGAGGATGACCTAAGACCCTGGGCCCTGTGGAGACCCAGAGGAGGCTCCTGGCCCCTGGCTTCAGATCGGCGCAGCTCCAACCATTGTGGCCATCTGAGGAGTGAATCAGCGGATGGATGACCTGTCTCTCTCTCTGCCCCTGCCTCTCTGTAACTCTGCCTTTCAAATAATTAAATAAATCTTTAAACAAAAAAAGATGCTAGGGGTTTGAGCAGCACTGCTTTCATTGGAATGTTGGAGAGGGTACACTGTGTCCAGAAAATAATCACCAATAAACAGATTTTAAACATGGCAAAAAGCAAATATTGCAGGGGTAATTGAAGTCATATGACAATTTGAAAATCTTGCTCTCCTCATTTAATATAAACAAGAAGAAAAAGAAAACCCTCCTTTTCATCCACCACCCTCTCCAGCCCTTCACAAAATCTTAGCAAAAAAGGCCACGAATACTGAACTTCTTTGCTCTATTTCCTCCTCACGACATCACCAGTCAGGCTCACCTTGCCCACAGTTCTGAATCTGTCCCACATTCACAGGTGACTTAAATTCTCCCAGGGACACCCTCCAGCCCTCTTCCTATTTGACTTCTGCTTCATTTGGCAGAGGATGTTTTTTTCCTTGAAATTCTTGCCACTTTCTTGGCTTCCTCAACACCTTTCTCGTCTGATCTTTTCCTATGGTGATATCTGATAGCTCCTTCTCTGATTACCACCTTGCCTGCTACGTAAGTCTCCTCCCAGGTTATGGCGCACATCCTTTCATCATGAACAGCCTCACCTCTAGCACCGCTTTTGTGCCCAGGGCCTCAGGACCACCATCTGTATGGGGCTAGCACTCATGTCCTAGCATCCTGCTCTGACCCTTCTCCTGGGCACTGTATCGACTTATAAACTATCTTCCTGACAGTTGTGCTTCCTGTCCTTAGAAGCAAAGCTTCTAATACCTATCTGGGAATTCCTCATTCCCAGGACAGCTCAGACTTGTTCTTCCTATCACCCTCTCCTTCCTCTCCACCACAGCCATCCTGGAAGCCCCTACCTCTGAAGTAATATGTAAAAAATGCTGATCACTTTGGCCAAGTTTGCAGAAAGCTCTATTATGCAAGCGAACACCTCAGGAATGATTACCATCTCCTGTTTTCTCTGATCATGCTGCCAACAACTTAGTTTATGCCTTCATACTTTCTCTAAATTACTCACATTCATCTGCTTGCCTCCAGATCACCTCTGTTCCAATCCACCCTTTACAATGCTGTCATAAAGGCCCTTTAAACATGTACACCGAGTCCATCATGGCCTTATTTAAAAGGCAACCACTAACATAGTTAGGCCTATCCCAAGGAGAGAGTCATGTGTGAACACAAATTTACAAACAAAGCTACTTATCACAATATCACTTATAATGGTGCAAACAAATGCATGGAACCTAAAATTGAACTCATTATGAAAAATTTAAGTATAATAAGATATAGTTATTTTGGGGCTATTATATGTAGTTATAGAAAGTTAAGTTCTTAAAAAAAAAAAGACATTTCAATGACATGGCCTGGGAAATGCTGGCATGCATTGCTACATTAGGATTTGGGGCTGACATTGTAGTGCAGTGGGTTAAGCCAGAGCTTGTGATACCAGCATCCATATCAGAATGCCAGTTAGAGTCCCAGCTCCTCCGCTCCCAAAACAGCTCCCAGTGTGTAGTAAAAGAACCTGGGAAGGCAGTGGAAGATGACCCAATCACTTGGGGGCCTGCCAACCATGTGGGAGACCAGAATGGAGTTACTGGCTCCTGGATTTGGATTGGCCTAGACCTTGCTGTTGCAGCCATTTAG